GATTTTGTAAAAATACTAAGTTTTTTTTTCTCAATAAACTGCCAGATTTGTCCAGTAAAAAAATTAATCGAATTTCTTTTTAGTCTACTTAAATTATTTTTCCCTATTTTACATACTGTACTTGTCACAATTGTTAAGGTCTAAATTACCATAAATATATCGAAGACTTCAACTGAATGGTTTATTGATATAAAGTACCACACCAATTTGTATTTACTGAAGCTGGATTTTACTGGATTTAACTGGTGTTCTGTTCAAAACAAAGTTGATATTCTTATGTTCCTAAACAGTAATTCCAGTGTTTTCAAAAATTGTATAGTTATAAATATCATAACTACAGATGTATTTTTTACAAAATAAGCATGGAAAATTCAAGATGTATGGTCAGTCAATTACTTGTTTCCGTGTTTTTTTTAATTAAATTCTTAAATGGTCTGGATTAATGAAGAAATTCAAAATTACAAAAATGAGCAGTTTTTCACATGGTACCTAAATAAACATCATTGGTGCATGACTAATAACTTCCCTCTATTTAGTCTGAATTCCCAGGTGATTTTCCAACCACTGTAAAATGCCTGTTCTATTGAATTTCAGAGTAGCCTTATATTTACGTTTCTATCAGTGCAGCTTGATGTATTCCCAATGAGCATATGGTTCTGTCTTTTAGGTTCCTGGGTACCACAATTTCTCATGATCTCAAAAAAGCTCAGCAAAGGATTTACTTTCTGAGACAATTAAAAAAAAAAGATCTGTCACAGGAAAGGATGATCCAGTTCTATACAGCTATCACTGAGTCCATCCTTACCTTTCCTGAACTTATTGGATCTGCCACCACACAGGACAGAAACAGACCCCAACATGTTATTAGGACAGCTGAGAGGATCACAGCCTTTGACCTGCCTACCCTCCAAGACCTTTACATCTCCAGGACTAAGAATCTGGCAGGATCACTTTTGACTCCTCTCACCCTGGTCATCATATTTTTCAATGTCTCCCATCAGGGAAAAGATTTAGGTCAATTGGCACCAGAACCACAAGACACAAAAACAGCTTTTTTCCTCAGGCATTGCCTCTTATTAATCACCCCTATTAATCATTGAACATTACTTAAATTGTGTTATCAAAATTGAATATTGATTACTTAGTTTACAACCACGGCATTAAATAATATTATAATCTGCATATGGATTATCACACATTGGTAGGGTTCTCACACATTCTTGAAGTACAATATATATTTTTCCTTTAATTTCTGAAATGTATATCGTGTTTTATTGTGATTTATGTGTCTTTGTATATATGTTTGTATGTGTATAGTGTATGAGCAAGTCAAATTCCTTGTGAGTGAAAACTTACTTGGCCAATAAAGTGATTTATCTACTAGTCCAGGTTAGAGTGAATCTTTGCATTGTTGCAACAGAGTTGTTTAACTGAAATGCAGGGTTAAATATCACCAGGCTTAAAACCTAAAGTTTCTAAACTTCAACACATTTATGTTATATATTGTATCATATTTGTTATTTTGTAAGCAGAGATAAAATGCCTGTGGTTTTCACCCTTAGATAAAGAGCAGTGATAATCATTTGGAAAAGAAAGCAGATTTAAAATGTGAGAACAACCACCTACTTAACAGAATGAGGTAGCAGTAATTGCTTCAGATATCTGAATAGCCTGAAAGTAGCACTGAATGTCAAACAGTTTTAATATATGGATTTAAACTCAAACTTAGTTAAGATATTTTTTTAACCTTTTCTAAGAAAAAAATACATTTCTTAAATAAAGAACGCCAGTTTTTCATTGCTTTAAATGAAATACCTAAGACATCAGCATGATTATTATTTTTTTTCCAGCATTCCTAACATACTCTCATTAGTATAGATAAGCAGACTACTTGTGGGGTCTTTGTGATAGTCTGGGTTAACAGTCAGATACTGGTTCATTCGCTTGTTAGTGCTTATCCATGTATTACGAAAATGGATAATAGACTGTAACAGGAATCTAGAACCTCTCACATATTTATTGCACACACTAAATTAAATCTACTCTTGATTCCTAGATCAGTAATGGCATTAATAACTGACAGTTTTGCCTGAATCATTCTAAGTACTTTAAGTAGTTGCAGCTCATCATTATGTCTTTGGTACTGTATGTTGATACAAAGGTACCAAACAGAAGCAAATAACCTATCACAGCCATCAAGAGGAAATAATCAAAGACTCAGTAAAGTGCAAAATGGTTAAGAAAATAGATTCACCGGGAATGACAACACCCAAGATTAAAGCATCATGAAAGGATTATTGAGCAAAATTTTGGCTTAACTTGCTTGGATGAGGGCTGACTTCCTGGCCTTAGGACAAGGAGGCCAGGACCCCCACGCAAGGTGACCAAGGTGTAGCTGCAGAGGGGGAGATGGGGTGGAGGTGGGATGCAAGAGAGAGAGATACGGATCTTGTAGGTATTTATAGCGTTTCGGGAGAGGAATGGATTGTCAAGAGCGATTGCTAATTACTGACAGCTAAATCTGATTGAACTTGGTTGTTGTCATCCCACCTGAACTTTCATTATAAACTCCATTTACTGCATAGTGGAAAGAAGTAAAGAAAGCATTAATGTCCTGCAACAAAAAACTGACTCACAAATGCTGTAACTAGTCCAAAAAAATAAGGATTTGCTACAATGGTTAAAAACTCTGCAATATCAACATATACACATACCATTCCAATATTTCATCTTTAATAGCAGCCTGTCTCAGTCACAGCTCACTAGGTTACACTTCAATAAGATGCAATATAATAAAAATGGCCACAATGATGTAACCATTCTTGTGTTCATTGATGTATACCTCATGAGAATATTAGAAAAAAAACGTAACAGTTCCATAGTCATTGTAAATATTATAATAATACAATAAAAAGAAATGTCAGTAGCAAAAACGATTGGCTTGTTCAGGTATAATTATCAGTACCATTAATGAGGTGAGACATGAACAGCTCTGCTGACCATTTTAAACAATGACATTTATCAGACCGAGGCATCAAACATATGAAAGCAAGTGTTCAGAAATAAAATCAAATGTTTTTAAAGATAACAAGGTATTTGGGATTACATTTATAGTTCCTTAATCTTGTTCAAAAGTGGGTGGGTTATTTCTTACATTTGTGACTTAAAAACATTTAATTTATTTGAGTTATTTTAAAAGACTTTGTTTATTTATGAATGTTTACAGTAGATACTGTATACACAAATGTATCACTAGTAAACATTTCTGCATTATTTATTAGCTTACACCAGATGCAATAATTTTGCATACTGTACAAACTTGAATAATGCCTATTTAGGAGGAAGAAGCAAATCTTAGTCATATGGAAATATTACAACCTGCAGTTTGACTCAGTTTACATAAATTGATCTGTATAACTTATAATATCTTACAATATTTAAGCACCACAAAACTAAAAGAAAAACAGAATTTCACCAAACCGCGTAATTTAAAGTATTCAAACATACTGTATATTAGCCAACATTTTCCCATACTCTGAGGAACGAATGTTTCAGAATTTCTCGTGGCTCAGTTTGGTATGACTTATACCTGACTTTTCTTGAACAAATGGGAGCTTTTAAATAATTCACAAATTGAAAGAATTCAAAATGTTTCTGATAAGGCATGTTCAACACAAAACCTTTACATGGGTCTTGCAGTGAGGTAATCATGTGTAAAATATTGCAAATTAATTTGTTATAATTTATGCTGGATGCTGGATGTGACTATTTAGTTTCTGAAGATTTCAGCAAGTTGTTAAAAAATATACTTAAAAGAACTGGAAACCTCATGCATTGTATAAAAGTCTGTAATTTTTGTGCAGCAAAAGAGATACATTTTGACAATATACAGTATTTGGATTAATAAAGCTAAATATGATATACTGTAAATAGTCTGATGCAAAGTGTTCTGTGAAGTGGATCATAAGCTTCAGTTATTTTTATTTTAATTTAATGAATACTCAAATAAAACTACATTGGCATTTTGGTGTTGCCAGCTGTAGGGAAGGATACGGCTTTTTGATTAATTTGTTAAGACTTTTAATATTATAGCCTTTATAATAGCCTTTCTTAAGCCTTTGATAATAAACAAAAGTAAGTAAATATATGAAAAAAACACTTCCAGTGGCCATAATAGTATAGATATACTGTATTCAGCTTTTTTATAGTTCTTGGTTTTATTAAACTTGAATAATTGGCTGCTGTAATACCTTGCTTAGCCTTTTATTAGTTCAATAATTAAAATAATTTAAAAATGTTTTAGTGAAAGAGTATACAGTATAAGAGACAATGGGAAAGTATATGTGTCTATCTACAGTATGTCTGCAAATACTATGAAAAACTATGAAAATTGCCTGTAATCATTTTGGCAAACTCACACAGTCATTGCTCAAATATCTCTGGGAAGCCAAGAAGTTCAATAATTAAGGTCTTTCTGCACCAGTGCTGACTGCATTAACAGGAGTCCCTCTGTACAGCAACAGAATTACCCCACTGAACTGAAGTGTTAGCAATAAACTTGAGGGTTAGAGCACCTGTCATCAAATTGTAACCGCTAGTTTTCCGTATCACAAAAATATTTTTATTCATTACATCTAGGTCCAAGTGGAGCAACATTTAAGAGGTTATGAAATCTTTATGTCCTGTAATGTTCTGTAATCCCCCATAAACATTTCAAATCACGTATAAGGATGTATCTGGAGATGGTCTATAACTTTTTACTTTATATGAACTACTATAAGATATTGAAATATTCTATCATGAATATCAGGATATCTGCAATATTAGTATTTTTTCAGTTGAAATATAAATTATAAACTAAAGATATTGTCCAAAAAGGGTCAAGACCACAAGGACATGGGATCAGTGCATAGTCTATACTGTACATATCATTCTATGAGCCTCAACTGTCAACAGGTAAGATTGTTTCAAACCATTAAAAAAAAAGAAAATGAACTTACCCCCATTAAAAATCAGCTCAGATATAAATATTCCATGCCATTTTAGTTTCCTTTTCCAGGCCAAGGTTTGCCATTCAATCAGAAAATGCCTGTATTGTTATTTCTAGTCAGTCCGTAGGTCCTGATATTTAAAGAATGCACTGCCTACACTTACCAGGCACAAATGACATACTGCTTGCTCTCTGTACTGTGTGCAGTTCTTGGCAGATAGAGTTTTCCGCTGTGCAGGCTTGAAAATCCTCCTCCAGACCCACTCATTTAGCACAGCGGGTTAATTCTTAAGCATGTACAGCTTGCAGGCTCATCCCACCACTGTGTGGGTACAGGTCTAAACTCCTGTCCAATACCATTCAGTGTTTTGATTTCCTTTTTTTCAGCAACTTCTGTTTGTTCCTGTTTCATAAAGAGATATCTCCCAAATTTAGAAAAATGTACAGATTTTTAGCTGACACTAAATTCGCAGAGAAGCAGAATAACAGACAGTAATGAAGGAAGGAATGGTAGATTTATACAGTATATTCCACTTTGATATACCTACGCTGACACTGAAGGTGTTTTCCAATCTTGAAGACGTTTTGGTTTAGTTTAATGAAATTACATTTTGAACATTGTGAGTTTGTTATTGTTATTTTGACCACGTCAATAACAACTTCTAGCCACAACAAAATGAGGGAATGCCAATACACTGTGTGGGTGTATAAATTAAATTAGTAGGCAGTTGTCCTCAGGACCATGTAATTCACAACTGTACAATTAATCTTTTTTATCTTTAAAAAAGGAAATTGTGTTGTGCATAAAATGTTGGGATTATGTTTATTCATGCCAACCCAAGAACTCAGCTTCCTAATCTTCTTCCTTCTTAGGATGACAAATGGATTTTGGTTTTCATTCATAAAAGAGCTTTCCATTGTTTAACTGGAGTTACAGTTACTTTAATTAAACATTAACTAATTGTTTCCAGTTCAAAAGTGGTTGCAGTTTTCAATGTACTGTTTATTTTATTTTTTTGCAGATACTAAAATCTCCAGCATTTAAGAGCAAGAAAATTAATAGGTTTAATGAACCAAATTACTATTTCAATTAAGGGTGTGAGGAATATCCTAAGAACCTTTAGAATAAAAAGACAGAAGAACAGTATATTGAAGTTATAGTGCATTATAGTCCTTGTTGAGTTGCCTTATCTCTTTCTGTCCATGTGGCTGTTATTGCAACCTACTTTCTATAACCACAGCAGCCTACAGATTCTACTAAAGGCACCATGATATGTACTGGGTGTTGTGCAGTATGTGCTGTCTCAGCGTAGTGAAATTACGTAGACAGGAACATAATTTATTAAAATATTATTATTGTAATATGATAATATATGATGTTATCCATTCCCAAGTGTTTCTGTACCTTTTTAAAAAATTGGTCATGAATTTGAAATTGAAAAAACAGTCAAAACTTGATATTAGACCATGCATAATACAATTAGACTGGGTGTGCACTTTGAGTGCGATAAAATGTCACTCAAAACAACTTAGCTGCTTTGCTACACATTCCATGTGATTGGAAAAAGTGTTTACACTAAAGAAGGCCTAAAGAAATTGAATAGATCCCACATTGTGCATCAACACTGATCCCCAGGTGTTACTAATCAATACCAGAAGAGACAATAAAGTGTTAGAAGCTGCTTGTTTATAAATGCGTAGCAAAACAAGTTATTTAACAATAGATTATATATTTTAACATTAAATGTGATTTTTCCTTTTTGTCAATGCAGCAGGTCCACCTAACTGGGTGGTGCGGTAAGGAGGAGTTAAATACATAATACCTGAAATCTCTTTAGGAAACTAAGCTACTGACTGAGGCAAGACCAGCCCTGATGTTTAAACCTTCCCTCCCTGTTTTAGTCTGCAACCTACTGGCCATTTCACTTCTGTTCTGAACTGGCTGAGCCTGTTTGGCCAGGCACAGATATTAAACCTTTCTCGTATTTAGATATTTGTGCCCCTGATGCAGCAACAGTATGTAGGTAAAGTATGTTATAGGATGATTTAATATTCTAGACTTAAAAGCAACCTTAGTTTTACTTTAGAAAATGAATGGTTTAAATATATTTCCGTCTCACTCCTAGACTTTACCAGTCTTGACCTATGCTAAACTGAAACATCCTTCCTTGTGAGGTGATCCTCAATTACAGTGAGAAATTACCTTGTAGATAGATTAAACTGATTTCTCTAGTTTCCTTGTGAGGAATGTAAACCCTGACTTATCTGTAACTATCTCTTTTAGTCTATAGAGTGCATTTACACCACTTTCTAGTATCCTAACCCTGTATCTACACTCCAGGTATTACTGCTCCGTTACAGTGAATTAGCATGCATTAGTAAAGGTCAATTCATTCCTCATTGCTTGCCAGAATAGGCTTTGGATCCCCTGTAGCCCTGAATTGGAAGAAGAAAATGGATGGATGGTATCAGTGCTCTTTATAGTGTATAATTCTATCAACATTGCATACAAGCTTGGTGCAATATTTGCTTATTCTTCTTGTTAGGTGTGCAAAATGTCTCTTAATTTGCTTGGGGATCATTTACAAACAGCAGTTTTCAGGTCTTTCCAAAGATTCTCAATAGGATTCAAGTCAGGACTTTGAACTGACCACTCAAGGAGTTTTTAAATGTTTAGCCACTACAGTGTACAGATGTATCCTAAAAAACACTAGGTGTCCATAGGCATGCTGCTGTGGCACATTTCCAATTGTGGAATTTACCAAGGACTCCACTATTCTGAAACACTCCCAGGTGATATAACCAAGACTTAAATTTCCTGACCACTAGTGTACTGTCAGTCATAGTTAAGTGTGAGTGTAATAGTCGTTTAAAAATAAAATAAATTATTTTAAACCTGTAACATTAATAAATACCACTTTAAAAATCCTAAAATTTGTTATTTAAATCACAAGCTCAAAAGGATGTTTAGAACATTGGTGTCACGATCTTCATCCCTCCTCTAAAGGGCGCTACAACCCTTTTGTGTTTTTCTTTATCATGTTCACCTGCCCCCTGTTCCATCCTTTATTTAAACCCGTGCTCTAAAAGCTCAGGGCCCTGCATTGGAGGCTACTCCAAAATGTTATGGATATGACGTACATGTGTAACTATACACCTGAAGAAGGCTCCACGGCCGAAACGTTGTGTTCTCTTTCTTCTTTTTTTCAGCATGGAATAAACCTATTACTTGTTCCTAAATTATATAATGCTGCAGTTGATTACTGCACAGTATGATATAGTGAAAAGCACTGCACAGTCCAAAGACATACAGTACAGGGAGGTTATAGATTGTTTCTGGGAAAATTGGTCCCAGTGTGAGTGTGTTATAGGGAGAAATCATTATATAGTAAGTGGCGGTTTTGTAATGAAGGAACTTGAAAACAGCCACATTTACTAACACTTTATTCTTTTGCAATAAATAGTAGAATTCCAATTACATTTGCCATTGTATTAAGAGTCACAAGAGCTGAAAAGATTTTTATCTTGCAAGTATGTTTTTTTAAACTTCTGTAATTACCGGTTGTAGAAACCAAGAAATTCGAGCCTGGAGTGTTCGTTCATCCAGCCAAGCTTTATTGTATGCATACAAGGAACTACAAAAAGCATCATAATAGTGATAGTACCTATCATAGCTCAAAGTGGATATGGTCCTACAGAACTTATATATACTGTACATGTTTCCCTCCCTCTAGATAAATAGAAACCTTCCTTTGTCATCAGGAGTTTAGTGTAAACATTTACCATTTGGGTAAACATTCACAATTTGGGGGTAAGTACAGGGGGATGAAGGGCAAGCTGTGTAATGACAAGAAGAGCAATGAAGAGCTATGTGTAACAGTAAAAGGGACAACACGGGGGTTAGCCCAGGCTCAGGGGGGTCAGAAGATGTCAGTAAGAAACATATGCCCTCAGGCCACAGACAGGAGCGGCCTGGTGCTAGGCGGGTCTCAGGACCTCTGTACCCTCAATGCCGAGCCAGGAACAGAGCAGACACAGGAAGTAAATAGGCTACACAACAAGACACACCAGAAAGACATGAATAATCACAGGGAACTAGGAACAGGACAGAAGTAGAGCACCCTCTTGGTGTACTGGGCGTGACACTTGCTAAATAAACCTAGCCTAAAATTTTCCCAAACAAAATACTTCTAAATCTAGTATCTTGTCATATTTAATTAATGCTAACATATCTATAGCAAACATTTTGCTTAATGCTACTAGCAAACTAAAATTCTCACTGTAATTATTAGAAAACATACAAATTATCCTACAGTATGTATAAGAAGCCTCTCTATTACAGTGGTGTTAAAGATTACATGAACCTCAATATTTGTTTTCTTCCTAAATTAAATTGCCTACCATTTTTGTAACCTTATGTTTGTTGTTCTTTCTAAATTTCCATTCTAATGTATTGATTTATATTGATTTGTAGTACAGTTTGCAATCTTAGCTTACAAGTATAACATGTCTCACCTACTGTATTACTAGTAGAAGAAATATGGGCATAACTAATATGGTAAAAACAACTCTCTCGATATGCTGTTTTTATAATTATAATTGTGCCACATCAGCAACTGCTTCACTATGTGAGATGTAAATACTGCACAACACTGTGGGCTAATTAAGAAAATTAATAAGTTAATTGATTTCAGTAAAAAAAACTACATACAGTACAAAGTCATTGTAAAAAAATGTTTTTTTTCCATAGGAATTAGAATATAGCACATTAGTATTTAACGCAGTGTAATTAAGCCTGAATATAAAATCACACAAAAATCACACTTAAATTTACATGCTGTAGAGAATTGGGCCTTTGAGGGTCAATTTAATTACCTGTTATATTATGCTGGATTCTTTCAAGTGCTGCTATTTTTTTAATAGAACTCTTTAGTCACATGTACGTCATATCCATAACATTTTGGAGTAATTTTGATTAATTGGCTGGCTGTCTGTAACTTGCATAAACACTAAATCGAATTATTAGGAGGAGAGTTGATTGGACACCTGTGTTGAAATAATTAAATCTTATGAATGCAAAGCCTAGTAAAAATCAAGAAAGAGAAAAATAGAAAGCAATCAAAATGCTTTGCTGATCATGTGACCAATACTTTTTTTGCAATTAATGT